GAGCTATCCGCGTGTATGTCCACGCCGAAACGAACCGTCATCTTTTGCGTGTATGTCTACACCGTTAAATGTCCGAGTGATTCCGCGTGTATGTACACGCTGTTAAATGTCCGAGCGAAACGAAGCAAAATGTAGATCTACATCTGGGGAGCGATATTTGAAGACTCATAAATGGTATTAACCCCAGTGACGGGTAGGTTTAGGGACGGGGTTGGGGTAGGTCATATATTTATATATACAGTAATATAACGTTAAGTCAACGGCATTGATAAACACGCTGAAAAGCGATTATGCGTGTTGATAGCGCGCCAAAAATGGAAATACCAATTGGCGTGTCATACATACGCCATTTCATGAGATCAGTCTGACAAATGAGTGGATGGATAGATGGATGGTCAAATGAGTGGATGGATAGATGGATGGTCAAATGAGTGGATGGATGGATGGATGGTCAAATGAGTGGATGGATAGATGGATGGTCAAATGAGTGGATGGATGGATGGATGGATGGTCAAATGAGTGGATGGATGGATGGTCAAATGAGTGGATGGATGGTCAAATGAGTGGATGGATAGATGGATGGTCAAATGAGTGGATGGAGAGATGGATGGTCAAATGAGTGGATGGAGAGATGGATGGTCAAATGAGTGGATGGATGGATGGTCAAATGAGTGGATGGATGGATGGATGGACAAATGAGTGGATGGATAGATGGATGGTCAAATGAGTGGATGGAGAGATGGATGGTCAAATGAGTGGATGGAGAGATGGATGGTCAAATGAGTGGATGGATGGATGGTCAAATGAGTGGATGGATAGATGGATGGACAAATGAGTGGATGGAGAGATGGATGGACAAATGAGTGGATGGAGAGATGGATGGTCAAATGAGTGGATGGATGGATGGTCAAATGAGTGGATGGATAGATGGATGGTCAAATGAGTGGATGGATAGATGGATGGTCAAATGAGTGGATAGATGATGGATGGAAAAATGAGTGGATAGATGATGGATGGACAAATGAGTAGATGGATGGATGGTCAAATGAGTGGATAGATGATGGACAAATGAGTGGATGATGGATGGACAAATGAGTGGATGGATGGACAAATGAGTGGATGATGGATGAATAAGTAGGTGGATGGATGGACGGACAAATGGGTAGGTGGATAAATGGATGGATAGATGGACAAACGTGTAGGTGTGTAGGTGGGTGGGTGGATGGATGGATGGATGGATAGATGGACAAACGTGTAGATGGATGGATAGTTAGATAAACGGATGGATAGATAGATAATGGATAGTTTTGCATCTCTTAATATTTTACAATATTGCTGTTTTACTGTATTTTTTTATCAAATAAATGCAGACTTGGTGAGCCTCAAGAGACTCATAAACAAAAAAAATCTTACAGAAGCCAAACCTTTGAATGGTAGTGTATATATTTCTCAAATCACATTTTATATATGATGTAATATTTGTAAGAAAAAAACCCTGAAATATATTTTAAACTTTTACCAACCATTTTAAAATGAGCATTTTTATCATGACCTCTTAGATCATGGCATTATGACCTCTCTGAAATGTAAAAATAGTTGTTATGATATGAAATCATTAATAATTTGCCCGCATGATGAACAGTGAGCCTAGACTCTCCATGAGGTGCTTATTAGATGTTAAAGCTTGTTATTACCTGATAGCAGCCTGAAGCTCATTTACTGTAATCCAACTAAAGCAAACAGGCAGCCAACAGGGATTATATTAAAAGGGGTATTAAGAAACATATCCACATATTTGGCAAGCCACACTTTTTCCGAAGATGCAAAGCTCTTGTCAGACATGGGAAAAAAAGGTCTTGAATTTCTTTTAGGAGTCCGGTTGAAAAGATACTCTCGCGCAATAAAATGATGGGATTTTTATACGATAGCCTCTAAAACAATATCAAGCGCATCACGTCACTTAAGTCATAGGAAGTTTTATTGCCGCAGAACTAGTGAGGGGATTTCGCTGTCTTGTATAGCAATAGCAATTGCCGAGCAACGGACAGAACAGTACAATAACATTTAAAGGTTAAGTGCCCAAACAGACCACCTGAAAACAATTCTGAATGGTGGCTCGTCAAGTCTTTCTGTTTTTTATTAATGTCTCACGTCATCCATGAAACAAGGGGCTGGAATAAAGTTGGCCAGCGCTCGGCATCTGCTGCAATTGTTTATTGAAATATGCCCATATTTTTCCATTACTCCCCCAGGACCCATATTCAAGGAACGATACATTCCAGTGAAAGAAAAGGAGCGATTCCTCCAGCAGGACTTATGATTGTATTCCTGGAAGAGAGCCTGGTAAGAGACGAGGTTAGTTAACGTCAATTACAGAACGAACTAGCTGTGCCGACTTACTCCGCAAGGTTGGTCGTACGTGGAGTTGGAGAAACATTCACAATCATTTTCATTGTTGGCTTTTGGACACTTTTATACAAGCACACGGGTTCTGTTTACAGAGTTGAAACTTCACAACTTCAGGTTTGAGGTGAATGAGTTGAGTTTGGATTGGGATTTGAAGGCTATGGAAATCTGCTTAGTTGGGATAGAAAATGACAAAAGTTGCAGTTCCAGTTGCAGTTCCTATCGTATGTTTTGGGATAATGGGACAGTAACATGACAATTATATTTGTCCAAATCTATTTCTTTAAATAATACATGCATAAAATGTATTTAAAAAATTAGATGTCCAAATCTCTCTCTCTCTCTCTCTCTCTCTCTCTAAACAAAGTCCAGCAAATCAAAGCCATATGATGCAGAAACATGCAGAGTAAAAACAAAGCAAAACATAAAACAGGAAGTGACATCATAGAGAGGACCCCAGCAGACCCTCATGACTGTGTGTCAAGGTCAAAAAGTAAAAAGATATATATATATATAGACATTTTTATAAAAAGTTCTGGTTGTAAAATGTCATGTGGTATGACTCCCCAAAAAGTTTAGATTTTTTATGAATTAATAATTCATGATATTTGTAAGGGAAAAAAAACTAAATGTATTAAAATAATATAATACATTTATCATTTACATTTACATATAATACATATAAATTTATCTTAGAAAATAATGATTAATATGTTGTTCCTTTTTACTTGGTTACACTACATGACATTTTTAAAATGACACTTTCCTGGAAAATGATTTAAACGTTTTTCAAAATCATATTTCTGAGAAGTTTCTTAGAGTTTTCTTTATCATGAACACTATTATTTGTCATTGGTATGTTTACACAACAACGATGTACTAAAAACAGAAACATTTTTCCTTTTCTTTTTTGCGCACAGACGACAACGTTGTCAAAATGATCCGCGAACACTTAATACACATGCATATGATGTCACTGTTTTCACAAATTCGCTTTTTGGTAATGGAGACGTTATTGGTATATTTGCAAAAACTTGCACTTTGGAACTTGATTTCAAAAGGTCGCGTTTTCAGGCCCCAAAACGCAGTTGTCGTGTAAATGAAGGGCCAAAACGCATAAAAAGTTTCCCGTTTTAAGTTGAAAACGGTGTTGTTTAAACGGCCCCTAAGACCTCTGTGAGATGAGACAGGAAGTGATGTCTTTTCTGAGAGTGCTGCATTGGAAAGGTGGGGGAAAGATAATTGCTCTCAGCAGCCTGACAGAAAGGGGGAAAAAGAGAAAGCCAGAGAGAAAGAATATAGGGACGGCTGCCAATTTGATCAAGATGCTTGTGGCGTGCACATATGGGCTTCATTACGGCATTCGGCTGACTGTGGTGACCCCCATTGGACTAGATCAGCAGTTTCTCGCTGACGGGGGGCGGCCTATTGTCCCGCTGCGCCCTAAAGACCACGAGGACAACCTGCAGGTGGACTTCGGCAACCCTCTGGTGTGGTCGCCATCCAAACACATTCCCAGGTTCTCCACCAACTTGTACACCAGTTTGGAGCTCTGGGCCAGGCCTGGAGCGTCTCCAAATGAGCCTCAGTCATCTTGACGACACTCCGCATGCACAAAGACGCGCGCCAAGGTTACGCCATCTCTGACGTCCGTCAGGCGGGAATCCTCTCCCTGTTTTCTTTCTTGATCAGCCGGAGTGTTTTCTCTGCGGTTCGAGAGACAGAAATCCGAACATGCCAGTGATTATTGCTGGCCCGTAACAAGCTCTAAATTCATTTGCTGTCGACTCTGCTGTCGTCAGGCCAAATTAACATGGCGGCTGGAAAATACCCTGGAAGAGAGTCACGGACACGCCTGTCCTTCGCAAGACGTCCGCTCGAAAGCGCGCCCCTGTTGAGGAGGGAGAAAAGAAACGTGTATCGGATCACATCTCCTCTGTTTGGGCCCCTCTCTCCGTGGCAACCATGAAACAAGCTTGTTTTCCCATCCGACCAAAGCACCCGAGATTATAAGAAAAGAGCTGAAGGGGAAATGTGTGCTATATGTTTTATGATGGTAATTAATAGCATGCTCACTGACAAAAACTAATTGGTGTAGGATTTACTTCAACTCAAAATTGCTAGTAAATTTCGCAAATAATTACAAGAAACTGTAGGATGTAAAATGTTGAAATTACATCTGAATGTGGAAATAATTGTAATTTAAAGGAATATTTCAGTTTCAATACAAGAAAAATCTCAGTTGACAGCTTTTTTTGCAATGTAAAGCTGTTTACATCATAATGTTTACAAATGTTTTGGGGTTTACAGTGTCGTCATGCTGACTAAATTGTAAAACCGGATACAAATTCACACAGAAAAGGTTGGTAAGTAACTTAACAATAAAATAATTTCATATTGTTTACATTTTGTGGCTACACTATTGAATCAGTGAGTATTTTAATATTTAAGTGTAAGTGTCTCACTGTAAACCAGTTTTGTGGAAATTCAAGTGGAAATTAAATTGTGGTCATCAACATTAATGCCACAGTGCTGTCGATTGAATTTTTTCTTTTTAACTTGGAAATGTAGATAAAAATAACTCAATGGCTCACCTTGAACTGCTACACGAGCTGCTGTAAAACTTTCATTTTCCCTTCGCATGATCCAACTCAACGACTGTCATCAGTGTTCATTTCCAGTGACATTTGTTTGGGTTTGAGGGTGCCAGGGACAGATGTGGCATCTATCCTCCATGCCCAGACCTTCTGATGGTTCCCCTATCAGCTGATTACACATATCCTGTGGTGACGGCCCATTGGCTCTCCCAGACCCCGAGGCCAAGCTGTAGATGGGAGGAAATGGCCGCCACTTACTATGGACTGAGCAGAGACCGAAGTTCCTGTAGGCCATGATAGCCAGGAAATCAGAGTCTCGTCAAAAGATGAGTCAGGACTAGACACACTATCCTACAGCTGAAATAGTAAAGCCATTTATCAGCCAAATAAGGAATTTGCTGAGGTTAATTACTCTATGCTAATAACATTGTTTGAATGCTATAGACCTTATGCGCCAGAGAAACAAGCACGCATCTATCTTTAGATTTTTGTCTTTGAAATTCTAATTTTGGGGTAGCTCTGTATATTTCTATGGCATCGCTGTCGAAGAATTAGCTAGTGAATTGGATTTACTTATTGTCGAGTTAACGGAAGTTATCATGGATAAGCGGATGTCATAACAAATGTCAGTATACCTAGAAGATTTAAAAACGAGCGGTTCATTCATAAATCTGTAAGATCTTACCTTCATGCTGTAGAAATACAAACTGGAAGACAGAACACAATGAGCGCAATGCTGAAAAGGGGCAGGGCTACAAAACGTCTATACAATGTGAGATATAAACAATAGAGTGAAGTATGGCATAATAATATACATAGTATACGACACAATAGAGCTCACCCAATAGTTCACTCAAAAATGAAAGTGCTGCCATCATTTACTCACCCTAAAGTTGTTCCAAACGTGTATTAAGTTTCTTTCTACTGTTGAACACAAAAGAAGACATTTTGAAGAATGTTGGTAACCACACAGTTGACAGTCAAAATAACTTTGGAACAACTTGAGGGTGAGTAAATGATGACCAAAAGTTCATTTTGGGGTGAACTATCCCTTTCAATTTTGTCATACTTCCCCCAACTGTTTATCTTTAAATCTGGCTCACAAATAAATTTTCAACTCAAGTTGTCAAAAGTAAAATAAATAAAATAGTAACACTTTATTTTACAGTGCCCTTGTTACACGTTACATGTACTTACCATAGTAATAACAGTATGCATAATTACATGCAACTAACCCTCAACCAAATCCTAATCATACCCTAACCCTACAGTAAGTACTTGTTGTTAATTAATATTACTCAGTACTTAAATATATAATTACACTGTAACAATGTCACCTTAAAATTAAGTGTAACCAATCAAATTTATAATCTAAAAATAATTTAAAATAAAAAATAGAATTATTCAATATAAAACTACACAACTGATGTAGTTTAAACCTATACTATATATATTGTAGTTAAAATAAAAATATTAAAATGCATTCATGCATATTACAAATATCAATACATTTATGCTTTTCGTTTTAGTTTGATAAAACATTAAATTATATATATACATACATATATATATATATATATATATATATATATATATATATATATATATATATAGTAACATTTAATTTAATTTTATGATTTAAATGTCAATTATATATTTTTTGAATTTACATTTTTATAATCATATTTAATTTTAATGTTTTATTTAATTTAATGTTAATAATGTAATATTTTATGCATTATACACTTACACATTAATCCGTTATATCAAAACCAGATCATTTTTGCTCTTAAAAATGCTACCTGCCTGATCTCCAAGGAAATGATTACTAGCATACATGTAAAGCATCCGCAGGGTATGAGAAAGATATTAGTCGAAAAGATCTGTACATGATGCATCAATAGCTATATAACAAAGGCACTTGGACTATAAGCATAGCCGCACTGAGTAAAATATAATTTGGTTTAACTCACACATTAAACTTTTATACCACAACTAATTGCTCAAATTCATCGCATTGCAGTACTTGCGTTACATGAAACAATAATACAATCCTGTGTACATCACTTGGATGACTCAAACATGTCAAGACGATTGTTTTCCATAAACAATATAGGAAAATTCAACTCCATCGCTTGAGGTTGACTAAATCCTTCTCATTAAATCTTTTGCAATGAGGTTTGCAAAGCTAGTCAATCCCCAAGAGACACTGATGCAACATCTCCAGACGTCAGGAATGGGATGAATTGTGCTTTGCCGAAATAATATCGCTGCTTTTCAACGGGGGAGGATTCGGGCAACGTTTCAAAACCATCTGTAGACCTCACACAGAAAATAAGTGCAACCTGAGACCATCAGACTGCCAAAACACTTCAGTGTTGACTGCCAGCAAACAAGCGTCAACAGCAGGAAAGTTGTCGTAATGGATTCAGGCCTCACACCCGTGTCACGTTCAGCCACACTTGAGCTCTAGATGCTGTTTCAGGTCCCATCACTAGAGGTTTATTGAAATTAATGGAAGTCAAATGCTGATTTTTTTCTTTAACATGACTTTAACTCCAAATTGAAATCCAAGATGGCATGAAGAAACATCAAATGTAAAAACACACAACAATGGGTTTGGGAAAACGGCCAAGAGCTTGGTCCCTAAGAAAGGTCTATTCAAATCTCTTACGGCAGAAAACAATGGGATTCCTTCAGAGCTACATGGGAATCATGGGGTGTAAATTTTAAGCTGAGTAGGTCAGAACTAAAAGCAGCGATTCCATTCGTCTGTGATCTAAATAAGTTCTTTTGTCAGAGCTGTTGGAATTCCATTGTTGCAGCTGTGAAGCACCTGTCTGCTCCTGAAGTCCACAGGGAATAAATTCCTCAGACACACATCCTCTGATATACAACTGGACATATTAATAATCAAGCAGGTGCTTGTGCCGTATGCAGTAAATGTTTTGGCACAGGGTTTAATTGGGGTCTCATGGCTGAAATTAGATGCTGACAGATTTAAGAAGAGTCCTCAGTTACACTCTTTAACGGACGGTCTCAAACATTACCAAATGGTTTTCCTTAACGCTGAGAGGGGAAAATGAGAAGGATGATAAAGAATACAGACCTTGCACTCTCAGCAATTCTTCGGTTTGGAAGAGTGAATCTAAAGAATGGAACAGGGAGAAGTAGAGAACAGTCAGTAAAAAAACTAGGCTGGAGGGAAATCAAAAAGAATGGTTCATTTTTATAGTGATAATCTGGATTATCAGCATAAAGTAAATCAAATTGTTCTCCATTTACTTTGTCAGTGCACATTCCTGGTCTTATTTTAAATTATTCACCAGTGGATGTTGCTAGTGTTTGATCTAGAAAGCAGAGTGGCTGATATTAAAAAACAATTTTCAAAAGAAAAGTTGTCCAGTATAGGTTTACAAAATAAAGGGGATTTCTCTATGTATTTATACCTTTGGTTGAACAAACAGTCTCGCATAGTGCTGCACTTTTAGACTGGTCGCGACAAATATGCAATTGGCTTATTTTCTAATGCTAAATCCTTTCTGCATCACTTCTTTTAATGTATTAATTAAAGAAAAGGGATAAACACATAGCATTTGGGTGTTTAAAGATGTCAGGGCGCTGATTTTATTAGCAGCTGGGTGCACTTTCCACCAGCCTCCTTATTCCACAAGGTCTAATTAGCTTAATAAAAGAAGGCTTCAGCTCTACAGAGGCATTTTTAGTGAGCGCTGTCTCCAGCCTGTCTGAATGCCTTCTTTAGGGAAGCAGTACAATGTTAAAGCTAGTCTGAAGGCCCATGACGGAGGGAGATGTTATCAATGCGTCGGGGGTGGACAAAAAGAAAAGGGGGGGTTGCATTTATACCTGCAGTAGTTGCAGGGGTAATTAACCAGGTCAAACTCTTGCTTGCTAATCTCCATTAGGATTCTTTGAAGAACCCCGGATCCACATAAACCTAATTTATCTGCCAAGGTTAAGGGGGGAGTCATGGATCGTAGACTCCAGCGACCCCGCACCTGACCGTCAACAAGCTTTCACAATGTTTTTCAGTTCACTTACAAATCATTTCTCCTCCAAATCTCTGATGAGGCTCCATGCACTAAAGACAAGCCAGTTTTTTGGGTTCTTGAAATACGATGGAACAGAACTGGAGCATTGAACCGGTTGACTCTATAAAAGAACGTCCAATTGACTCAACCTATTTTCGTCCCTGATACTCTCAAAAAAAAAATTGTGCCTTTAGGAGTACAACAGCTTGTCACTGAGGCAGTACCCTTAAAAGGACACTTTTGTACCTTATCTACTCCTAAAAAGTGCATTTCAGTACCTTAGAGTAGTAATACGTACCCTTAAGGTACTACTATAAATATTTTAGGGGTAAATAAGGTACCTTTTTAAGTGAACAGATGTTGTACCCCTAAAAGGTGCATACCTTTATGGTACTACTATGACACTTTTGAGGGTAAATAAAGTAAAAAGATGTTTCTTTTGCTGCCCCAGTGACAAAACTTTGGGCCCTAAAAGGTGCATATTACCACCTTAGAATACTAATACGAATCCTTAAGGTTAGGGATGCACCGATATGAAAATTTTGCCCAAACGATAATTCTTTCTATTTGAAAGCCGATAACCGATATATTGGCCGATAAATCTAAATCCACAAACAAATCTCACCATTAAAATCCATGTCCCAAGCAGACAATTATTATGTTCTCATTATAATTTTATGTAGGCTTTATGACAGACTTGCACTGCACATATTGCACTTAACATGTTATTCCAATCATATTTCAAGCAATTCAAAACCATCATGGCAAACAGTGCATATCTAAAGTGTCTCAGCCGAAGGAAATAATCCATTATTTATCAGCTTTAATATATATGGGAAAAAATTTTATTGTGCCGATAACGATAACAAAAATTTAACATATATCGGCTGATACCGATATGATGGCTGATATATCATGCATATCTACTTAAGGTACTACTATGAATTCTTTAGGGGTAAATAAGGCGCAAAGATGTGTTTTAAGGGCACTGCCCCAGTGACAAGCTGCCGTACCCTAAAAAAAGTCAAATTTTTGCAATTCTTTTCTGAGTGCACAGTAGCTAAAACCTTGTGAAACAGCTGTCAATGTGGACAGGGAAATCAACCAAAACCAAATATTCAAACTCCTGTGATTCCCCCTCCTGACCTTCATTTTCCTGTAACAACTCAATTCTGGTCAACTTTTTGGCCATTTTTGTGTGGAAAACCGGCTTACTAGAGTTTCACCGTACCCTATCAAGTTACTCCAGTCGACATGCTGACAGTGCGGCCGGAATGTCAGGTCAGGCTCCAGACTCTCTCG